TTGAGGTGTGATTTTTTGATGAATTATCTCTGAGGTTTGACTTAAGTAAGAAACAAATTAAGAGCATAAATTTCCTAGGGCCCCATGCTCCCCTAGTATCCTCCAAATCAGAGAGTTCAAATCAACCAGTTCCTGATGATTGATCAGGAACTGATTCGTGAACCCTTTACTAATGGTAATTCTTCCTCTGTTTGAACATCTCCAATGTCAAGAAACCCAGCAGACCAGTCCATTTCCCTTTCAGTCAGTTCTGATTGTTGGAAATTCTTCCTGAATTGAGCACAACTCTACTTTTCTGTGCTTTTACAGTATTTCCTAGTTCTGCTCTCTGAAGCCTCCTAGAAAGATAATTATTCCTTTCCCATTTGACAACCCTCCTTTTGTTCAAAACCCACTGTCATGTTTACTATCTCCTTTTTTTAGATTTAAAATACTCTCTTCACCCCAACATTCTTCAGTTTTACCTAGTATGAGATGGTTGTCAATCTCCTCACTAACTTCACCAACTGGAACCTTCTCATCTAGGTGGCTACAGCTGATCTTAAGTGATGGTACTCAGGAGTAAACATGGTGAATCCAGGAGTGGTCTGGCCAGGATGAACACTGGAATTTCAGTTTAACACAACATGAGCCTGTGTAAATAGGTTTTTCAATTAGAACCATTTCAGTTTCGACTGAGGTCACTGGACAGTAAATACCACATTCCAAAGTGAGATGAGGGACCCCAGGCAAGAGTTGCAAAACAGACGTCTTAGAACCAGTTTTGCAACCCTTAGTGGATCAGCTATCTCTACCCTGCCCACTCCTACCCGCCCCCCAACTAAAAAAGACAAGGTGATCACCAAGAAAAGAGATGAATATAAAGAGAGGTTTCTGGAGGACTATTGCTATGTATGGAGTCCCGCTTCCCTTTCACCATGGAGGAGAGAGTTCTTGTACCTCACTTTAAGCCCAGAGAAAGGAGTTTCAACTCACCTACTCTGAAAACCTGTTATTTGTTCCCTCCTGGACCTGGAGAGACATAATGGACTGCTGTCCATCTCGGGTCCAAGAGATCTAAAGGAGACTGTGTTAGGGGCATTGGGACGACTGGCTACCCAGGCTTGGCCGACGCACAACAGTACAGATGCTGACATAACCGGAACGAGGCTGTGTCTTTGTGCCTTGAAATGACCAGAAGAACTTATATTACCTAAGAATGAGAGAAATGCCATGGAGCCTTTCCTAGATTTCATCCAAGAGGCAGGGGAAGAACTGACCCAAAATGAACGGATTTGAAAGGACCATCAGAGAGAAAAATAAAATTGCTTCATGATTACACCTTTTTTGTTTCCTCTGTGCTCAGCTAAGCTGTTTTATCTATCATGTCCACGTGTATGTATATATGTGTATGTATATATGTACATACATACATATACATGCACATATATGCACATGTGTATATATATGTATGGCACATGTGTAGAAGAGCAAGACTGTAACATAAAAAAATAGTAGCTATAATTTGTTGATTGTTTATTGTGTTCCAGGCACTGCATTAAGACCTTTATACATGTTATTTATTTTTCACAGTCATCTTCGAGTTTGTCATCCTCATTTTATTGAGCCAGCTATTAATTAAGTAGCAAGGAGTGTGCCCAAAAGCTTATGTATGTTAAGTGGCTTAGCCTGAACTTGAGTCTGCCTGACTGAGGTTCAGGCTTTGAACAACTGATTTATTTTGTTTGTCCTTAGTTACAGCCAGTATGGCCTTTGACAACAGCGACTGATTTTATTTATTGTGTACGTTTTAACAGTGAGCACTGGGCAATTAAAAAGGAGTGAGAAGATTATTCGTAAGATGTGGTATAAATCAGCTTGTTCCTTCCAAGGGCTCGTATTATTATAATGGATGTAGACGGAACTGTTTGTGACATTCACAGAGACAACATGTTAGCACAAACACGACTTGCTGTTTTTCCGGACTGCAAACGTAGAGCTGCTTCCACCTGCAGGCCAAAGGGAGAACTGCGGTATTTCCAGCTGGACAATCTCCTCCTTTCACAGATCCACAGCAGAGGTGCTAGGCTGAAAGCTAGGCTGTGAGGATTAAATTAAATTCAACATCTTTTTGTGGAGAGCCTACCACAGGCCAGGTAGAATTTCAAGCACAAAACAAAGCAGTCTGTCTTCGTGGAGCTTAGATGAGAGAATGTATTTGGAAATATTTTGTTAACACTACTGAGTGACACGTGTGTTGATGACTGTCCTTGGTGTTTATACCACGCTGGGAAACGCTGCGTGTTTCTAACCAGTGTGCCTGTGCGCTGTATCAGACGTGGGACTCTAACGTAAGATTGTACTCAGAGTTGCCTGAACAGAGCTTTTTGCTGCTGCTTCGTGCCGGGCTCTGGTCCACTCACTGCCGCTTCTCAAGGACAGGGACCAGGTCTTCCATAGTCCATTTTCTTTGGGTCTCCAGGACCTAGCAGAGCGTCAGAGTAAGCTGTCTGTACATGTGTGCTGTGTGGGACGGAACGAAACTAGGATTGAGTGGATAGAGCTAAATATTGGAATCTAGAGCAGAAGACGAAAGAGAAAACAATGTGATTATGTAGCCTTGCGGATGGTTTGTTCTGCATCTGCACCCACCGTCTTCGCAGCTCCCAGCACATTTGTCTCTTCCTTGGACGTGCACTCACGCCCCACCCAGAAGTCTTTCCTGCTCATCAGTTAGTCTGCATGGCTCTCGTTTCTCGAATCTTCTGTCATATCATGCCCTCACCCACAAAAATGAACATTTCAATGTGCTCGTCTTTTGTTATTCTCTGAAAGTAGTCACCTTTGATTCAGGAACAGTTCTATAGTCTCATGAATGGTCTCCCCATCCTTAACCACATACAAGGTCCAGTGCAATTTGGGGAAGAAAATAATTTAAGGTACAGCCTATATCTTTCTTCTGGAAGAGTCTCTGATTTCCAGAGACCTGTGGGTACATGTTTATTTGCATGCACAGTGCATGCATGGGTTCAATGTTTTTTTCTCTTCCTTCATCTTTTCCATTAAGTTCTGATATTTAGATTTGGGGCCTGCTGTGGTACTAGTTAGGGCAGATCTGTTGCCAAAGATGTGATTCTGATATCTCCTTTCCCACAGCTTTGTCTGTGATGTAGAGAATATGACTCTGAGGAGTAGCATGCTGATTTCAATGCTGTTTTCTTCTCTTCTTCTTAGTCCCTCAAAACATGGTCATCTGGCTGAGCATCAGAATTGTATACATTTATAGAATGTGAACTGGCTTCCAATTCCAATTTCCTGAATCCAAATCTCTGAGGATGGAGCTCCCAGGTCTGCATTTGTAACAAGGGGCTTTGGAGATTCCCGTGTGCACTCAAGTTTAAGAACCGTTGCCCTGGGGTGCACCGTTAGCAGGAAAAGTACATTGTGGAAGGTCCCTGGGTGGGAAGCTGGCAGCCAAGTCCAGGACTTTTCCTGTAATGGGCATGTGCTTTTGGAACTGGCTTCCTCTCCCAGATCAACAGAGCGTGAGCAGTTTAGATTTTAGGGCACAGGGACTGATTCACTTGTGACTCACCAAAGCAGCATGTGTGTGTTGTAGCCGCCTTTTCACACCATAAATAATTCCGTTCTTTGAATCAGCACTTTAAAGAATAAGTATTCTTTTCCCCAAATGTTAAGTAAAATAAGTCAAATAATAAAATTAAAAGCCTTTGTAATGCACCTCACATTATTGCTAACATATCTATCCTTATTTAGAACAATAATTAGAATTATATTTCACATAAGGTTTTATAAAAGCTTTTACATTTAGATTCACATTTTATACTTTTGAATACAAATCAATTAAAATTAGAAAACTACAAATTTTAGTTACAAAAGTTTGTTATTTTAATATATACTTCAAGGCTGTTTTATCAATGCTGATTTTAGGCCTTTTACCCTAAATACTATGACTGATTCATTGTTAAGTGGAAAAAAGTAATCCCTTTCTGAGCTGTCACTAAAATAACCATCTTAGCAGCTGATTCTTCCCAGGGTAATGACCTGTTTCTAATCCATTTCCCTGTTCTTTTCTCTCTCTCTCTCTCTCCCCGCCTTTCTCATTCTCTCTCTTGCATTAAGAACCATGTAAAATGTTTTTTTTTTATTATTAGCACTTAAAATTTGAATTTTAGTATAGAGAAGTCTATCTGATGATGATTGAATGTGGATATGTATGCTCTTTTGAGTATTTTTTAGAATACTTCTGATTATGGAATATTTATATTCAATAAGGCTATGCCATCCAGATGTAAGTAAAACTCAAGTTGCCCCTGCTATATCACAAACTTAAAAAAAAATTCTTTTATCCTAGTATGAACAGTTTTTTTTTCCTTCAGAGATATTTTCAAACATTGGTTCATGAGGTAAAAGTAATCATATAGGAAATTCTTGGTCATGTTAATATTTACCATTTAGCTATTTTTGTCAGATGGTATTCTAAATGATTTACATGCGCAATACCGTTTAATTCTCACAAACATTTTTGATGTTTTTTTCTATCACTAGCCCCATTTTACAGAATCCATAATCCAAGTGCCTTTAGCCTATAAGTTTCAGAGCCAGGATTTATACCCAGAGCCGTCTGGATTAAAATGCACACTCTTTCTCACTCAGTGATGTCGAAAGGTTAGGAGTCATGGCTCTACCTGAGGCCCAGGTCCTGGAAACCCTTCCTGGGCTGTTCTGCCCCACACTTTGGAATGCAAACTCCCTTGAGCAAGCACTTGTTGGCATAGTTTCACCGGTGGCCTGTCTGTCTAAGGTAGTCAGCGAGTATTAAAATCGTCCTAATAATAAAGTAGCGCTCAGTCAACCGTGTAGCCCCCTCACTGGGGGGAGGAGAGCAGCTCACTTGCCCTGGAGGGGCTGAGAAAGAGCAGTTTACAAGCGTCAGCCTGGGGTCTGACCCTTCCTGCTCTCCATCTTGGTGCTGGCACGTGCCTCAGGTGACCATCACCTCACGTCAGCCCAGAGTCTGGGCAGAACGCACTACCAGGGCGCCTTTCTCCCCCACCCCAAACACACTGAGCCCTTTCACTGACCTGCCTTCTGATTGGAGGCTGGTTGCTCCAGATAATGACGTCCGGGACCCCTCTGTGGGTTACAGCCTGTTTCTGTTACTCTCACCGCAACTTAAGACGCCTGCAGTTGGGGAGGAAAGAGAGGGAAAAGACCAGGATTTTCAAGATCCCCGGATACCAGAGGCACAGAAGACCAGCAGCATTCCGGCTACCTGCGTGGCCCCAGGGCTGCCAGCTGCCCATGTGTCCCTTGCCCACAGGCTGCTTGCTAAGATGAGGGACCGTCTTCAGTATGTCGCCTGCTTCTTTGCATTTTTCTCTGCTGGGTTCTTGGTTGTGGCCACCTGGACAGACTGCTGGATGGTGAATGCAGATGACTCGCTGGAGGTAAGAAGTCAGCAGCTTCTTTTACTGACCCAACTTGTCCCTGAGCCCCAGTGCCGCACTGTGTTCACCAGGACTAATGACAGTAGTACTAGCCAACGTGGGTGGCCTTGCTCCTTGCTTACTACTTATTGAGTCATTATTTGCTCATTTACTCCTCACAGCTACTCTCTGAGGTAGGTATTGCTGTTATCCCATTTTACAGATGAGGTAAGTGAGTAACCCCTCTTTTTCATAAGGATAGATTTACACAAGCATAGTTATATGATCCCTGCCACTGATCCCTCCAGAATTCACCTCTTCCATTGCTGCATATACCAAATTGAATAACATTCCAGTAACACCCTCCCTCACAAACAGAAATTTACTCATCTGGACTACAGCATTAACAGTAGCATGGTAGACTTTCTTAAGGAGTGATAATCTAAAAGTTGAGTGATCACGCAAGGCATAAAAAAACCTACCCAATTACTATGCAATAGAAAGATGTTATTTTAAGTAGATGAAAACAGTCCATGGGAAAACAAGTCTTGCCAGTGTGTCTCGAGGTACTGGGGACAGACGTGGATTTAAGAAACTCTCTTTCAAAAATGAGTTGCACTTGGGAGCCTACTCTTCATGCAAGAATGAGTGAGTGTTTCACATGTGAAACTTTAATTTTTCTCACTGGAGAAGCTCAGAAAGAAGTAATTTTGAAATGTAGAATCATTTTTCTGTAGCTCTAGGAATCTAAGAGAGGTAAAGCTAAGTAAAAAGCAAATCTTCAGAATCAGCAGCTATTCATCAGTAAGGTTTCTGAAAATGTAGGTAAGAAAAAGGAACAATATGTCAGGAACTCAAATAGAGAGTATGTTCTCTTAGGGAAAAGTTTACTCTAACAAATGCTATACTTTTATGAAGTTTAAGAAAGACACCTCGGGGCCAAGTTTTTATATTTTTCTCCTAATGTCATTTATTAAATTCTTAAGTCTGAGAGTTTGAAATAGAAAGCAATCATCTTTCTATTTTCCTGTGTATTATTTTTCTGATTTACTCTTTTCTTGCTTTTACTTCTTCTCTGACTTCTACATGGCATTTCAAAACCAATGGGATTATAAGTACTTCCTTAGTGCTAGAAAATTATATTTCTGAAAATTATGATACGATTGAAATACCATAAAGGATATCTGATATATGTGAGTCTGATGGTGCATTTTATCGATCCATGAATATAAGTGGTGAATTTAAAAAAAACACACACAGAACTATCCTTTGACCAGTACTCAGAAAAAAGTAAAGATGCAAACGTTCTGCTTGCTCAAATATAGTAGGTGATGAATACAGAAATATACTGTTTGGGCACGCTTAAAATTATGTTTTTAAAAATATGCAAAATCTTCTCTAAAAGCATTATTAAAATATTTTCCCAAACAATTTGAAAATCTTTCTGCTTAAGCTGATGGAGCTGCTAACATCCCCTGAGAAGAAACGAAGGTTTAGAAAGTGTCAGACCTTGTAGAGAGAGACTGGGACTCCCAGCATGGAAAGTGCCTTCCTGCTTTTCATATCAGTTCATCCAGCCAACTTACCATCTGTCCTGTGCAAGAACACTTCCAGTTAAAATGAATGGAAGGAACAGTTCAGGTTATTCACCACGAGTAAATCCTTGCTAAGCCTGGACTGCACTTAATAGTTTTTGGCGTCTTTCATACTTCCCATGCTTGAAATGTATTACTATAGAATCTCCAAGAAGCCCCCATGTTGAAAGAAGAAACCTTCAACAAATTAGGCCCCCTTCTCTTTAATAATCTCTTTATTTGTCAATATTTTTAAAGAGACAGGAATCTCTCATAATAATTGCTCTTTCAATTGGCCAGCATATAAAGTTATAAAATTACCCATAAATTTCAAGTTTCTGAGATTCATTGGCTTAATTATACTGTTCTCCATGCTCATGTATATATCTTCTTTGGTCCATATTAACAGCTCACCTTAAATAACTATTGGACAAATGTTGACACAATAAAAGTGCCTTAAAAAAGAAAGCATACTCATGGAAAATTTAAACAAAAAGGAGTATAATGAATTTTTAGATCTGTTAGTCTTTTACAGTGATGTGGGCATCAGAGTTGGAAAATGGAGCCTATAGTTCAGTTCAACGTAACAAGCATGAAATGTATGTCACATGAAAGGTGCTGTGCTAATCCTACGAGGGGAGGCCAAGATAAAGCAAGAGTGGGTCCTGCCTTCTAGGAGTGAGCATTTAGTGAGGAACAAAGATGCATGTGAGACTCTAATAAAAGGCATGGCCCATTCACACTTGGGAAAGAAATGAACAAGGAATCATTGGAGCAAAGAAGATAGAATGATTATTTCCCACCAGGGACATTGAAATAGGCTTCCGGGAGGAAAAGACATTTGAACAAAGCCTCAGAAAGATGCAAAGGATTTCAAAAGGTAGAAATGGCAGCAGGGGCCTTCCCAACAAGAGGACAAACCGCAGAAGTACAGAAAAAAGGTGAGTAACAGGGAGCACGAGGCAAGAAATGTTCAACTACCCTTTTGCCTTACTAGAGAATACTCAAAATACTACAAAATATTGTTTCTCCTTACTTATACTTGGCCTGAAGAGGAAAGTTCTTTGCATTAAGTAAAAACACTAAGAAAAAGAAACAGCACATGGCACTGTAGAGTGCACAGCCTCAAAATCAGGGACCAGAGATCCTAAGCTCCCATCCTGCTCCTATCATTACTGAGTCACGTGTGTCTTGCGGGAAGACTGATGTGGTGAAGAGAACTTGGGTTTGGGGATTATCCCAGCCTCTGGTGGCATCTTAACCATCTTCTACTGAGCAAGTCACAGTTCATGTCTTGAGCTCAGATTCCTCAATTATAAAACAAAGTTGAACTCAGTGGTTTTAAAGGCCACTTTAGTCTTCAGATTCTTTAACATCAGACTCCTTGACTAGACAGTGTCTGCAATTCCAGAGAGATGGCCAGTCGCGGGAGAGCCGATGGTGTCTAAAGCCTCCCCAGAAATTTCCATTAGGAAATCAAGTGTCAATAGTCTTCATTTATCTGTAACTTCATATGTTCTTTCATCCTTTCTCCCACTCTCCTTCCCTCCTTTTTTTCCTCCCTTCCTTTCTTCTATCCTCCCTCTCTTCTTCCTCTTTTTTCCTTCTTCTTCTCCCTTTAGTCCCCTTTCTCTTTTTTCCTCCCTTTTTAAAATCCCTAAGCTCTTCTTCTGTTTTCTTCTTCTTTTTCTTCCCCCCACCCCACTCCTTTATCTCTTTATCCCTCCCTTTTGCACTCCCTTTTTTCTTTTCTTTCCACCTTCTTTCATTCCACAAATGCTCTTTGACACCTGCTGTCTACCTGGTACTGTGCTGGGTACAGGTTATGAAGGAGGGTGAGACTTGGATCTTCCTTAGGTTGCCTGCAGTGTATTGGGGGAGACAGACAGGTGAACTGATAGACACAGTATGATGTGACTAGTGCAGTGACTACAGATAACTCCGAGCAGCCAGCTCACCCAATCTCAGATAATCAGTGAAGGCTACCTAGAAGAAGTATCTAAACTAGACTTGAGCAGGTGACGGGGGCAGGATAAGTAGAGTATTACAAGCACAGGATATGATATGGGCAGAGATCTAGATATGGGAGAGGTGCTGTATGGTTATGGCTTTGGACGTATCAAAGCATGGAAAGAGTTTCCGATGTAGGGAGGAGGTCACAGGGGCTTTGTGTTCATGTGAAATATACAGCTTATGCCATAGACAAGGGTGCTTCACTATAAGCAAACACATATGTGTATTTTGGAAAGATCCATCGTTCTGCCTACTTGTAAGGAATGATTAGAAAGGGTAAAATGAATTATAGGGAGACCAATTAGGAAGCTTTTGCCATAGAACAGGATGAAGGTGTTGATGGTCTGAACTAGTGTGGCAGCAAGCATAAAAAGACGAGAAGACATGGGAAACTAAAAAACTCGGATTGATGGGATTAATAACTGACTGCATGTGGGGAAAGAAGGCGGAGGACTAAGGAGAAGTCAAGTTTGAAATCCACTGTATTGTGTTGGGGTAACTGAAGGAAGGATGGAGTCATTTACCTGGAGCTTAAATAGAGGAAACTTCGTCTCTATACAGAAGTCATTAAGCAGCAATATCTTGTGGACCATGACACTGTTTTTTTTTCTTACTTAGATAGTTACACAGCACCTTGAAGGGGCCAGGAGAGTAACACTTTTTAGTGTGAATGTTTCCAGGTTGGACTTAACGATACAGGGATCTGAGATTAAATCCCACCCTGTCAGGAAGTAGCTGCATGAATCTAGACAGATGCTTAAATTGCTATAAAACCACATTTCCTCTTCTGTAAAGGGAGAATAACAACATGCACATCATAAGTGTCTTGTGAGAATTAAATGAGCTTGTGTATCTAAAGTATTTACCGCAGTACCAGGCGAATACAAACTAGTCAATAAATGCGAGATGTATTATCATCTATTTGCACTTTATTGTTTTGTTTTTGTTCTGGAGGCGGAGATGACATTTTGTGTAATGTTCACTGAAGGGAGAAATATGAGATTTAAGTTCTATTCCTATTTTCTCTATTGATTCTCTTGGACAAATTCTGTTTACTTCTCTGAGCTGTTGGTTTTTCCCTCTTTATACTTATGACTGTTCCCTTTTTGTCTAACCAAGGGAATAAGGCAGAGAGTGGAGACAAAATAGCGTAAGTTATCTACTAAATACATTTAAAAAGAAAATTAATTATGAATTAATAACATTATTAATGTGTTAACCATATCATAAAATAGATAATTGTTCATTATCCACACTGAAATAGAATGGTACCTTCTTCACAGTTATGGTCTCTCAATTATCAGAATGAACAAAATGTTTTCACAAGCTTATTTCATTTTCAGTTCAACTTCTGTTAATTATTTACTGAGAATCTGCTAAACATCAAGCATAGTTATGATTAAAATTTTGTTACCTCAAATGAAAATTTCCCAC